CAGAATTAGCAGAAACAATCACGTTAGATTGTGTGGTCTCGCTGAATGCAAATTGCTAGAAGGACAGATATATTAGTTAAAGTATTCTCAGAAAATGTTGCCAGCATGTTTCCACAGACATTGCAATAGCATCCATTGTGTGAGTGGTACTCCATCATAATTTGGTTGGTTTCTGTCTGGAGATAGTTCATTACTTTAGAATGGAACAGTCCCTTTTCCCAACTAGTGGTAGAAAAAACACTTTAGTTTTACAAAGGCATTTTCAAATATTTGTATAATATTCTGTAACTTCAGCAAAGTTAATTATAGATGGTTTTCTGGAAGACAAGAAAAATAGTTCAAGTAATTCTTCTGACAATAAATGTGTGAAACCACTGCCGACAGTAACTGTATAGATAGATAACATCAGTAGATGTAAGGGGAACCCAGACACAATTTTGTTGAAAGAACCAATTGAGAGGTATTAAAAGGCATAGAATCATAGAATTCCTATAGTGCAGATTAGATGCCATTTGGCCCATCATGTCTGCACCGACCCGCCAAAGAGCATCTCACCCTATTCCTATAATTCCATGTTTACCATGACAAACCCACCTAGCACACTAGACACTATAGAGCATTTTGGCATGGTCAATCCACCAAAAACATAATTAGTCTGTCTGGTGTGTTAGAAGATTTTGAAGAAATACTCCAGAATGAAATCCCAATTATCATAGAGCACAGGCAGTAACATCTTGTTTCCTTACTTAGCTTTAACTGTCTGCACTTATTAAAATCATTCCTTTAGGAAAGATTAAAATATATACAAAAATTTTGATATGGATGTACTACATATTTTAATACCAACTGAAATAATTAGTTTTGTTCTTAAATGCATATGGCCCAGTTTAGCATTATTCTAATGACAAATTCAGTCTTGGAGATGGATTCTGCAATAGTCACACTAAATTCCCCAAGCTTTGATTACATTTGCTTAAAGTCAACTGAGGCATGGTTAGTTTTAAATATAATAAAGTCTTGTCATCTTTGACATTCACAAAAAAATTCATTAATGCACACAAAATGTTCTATTCACTATTTCTATATAGAATTACATTTTTTGTGAACTTGATAACCAGTTAGTCCTGTACATTCAAATAAAAGCAAAATACCGCAAATGCGAGAAATCTGAAATAGAAACAGCCAATGCTGGAGAAACAATTGCTTGAAAAGCTCAGCAGATCTGGCAGCATCTGTGAAGAGAAATCAGAGTTAACATTTCGGGTCTGGTGAGCCTTCCTCAGAACTCACGGTAGCCATGAAAATGTTGGTTTTCGTGCAGAAGATAAGTGAGGTGAGAGGATAAGGAGTAAATGAGAGGTGGGGATAGAGCCCAAAGAGAGAGAACAGCTGGACAGACAAAGGAGAGAATAATGATTTGGCTAGGAGGGTGAATAGCTGTTGATGAGGATGATTAGTGGCTAACAATGGGTTGTGTGTAACGGCAGGCTGTGTGATAACAAGGCCTGGTGTGTGGGGTTAGGACATGGGAGAGTTCAAGCCCCAAAGTTAATGAACTCAAAATTGAGTCCAGAAGGCTGCAGGATCCCCAAGTGGAAAATGAGGTGTTGTTCTTTCAGCTTACACTGAGCTTCGCTGGAGCACTAAATTAAATCCGAAAGAACTGCAGATGCTGTAAATCAGAAACAAAAACAAAGTTGCTGGAAAAGCCCAGCAGGTCTGCCAGCATCTGTGAAGGAAGGGTCCAGTTCTGAGGAAGGGTAACCAGACCCAAAACGTTAACTCTATTTTTTCCTTCACAGATGCTGCCAGACCTGCTGGGCTTTTCCAACAACTTTGTTTTTGTTTGCTGGAGCACTGCAGTGAGCCTGAGACAGAGATATTGGCCAAGGAACAGGGTAGTGTGTTGAACTGGCAGGCATCTGGAGGCTCAGAGTCATTTTTGCATGCAGAATGTAGGTGTTGTGTGCAGTGGTCAAGCAGTCTATGCTTCATTTCCCCAACATGGAGGAGACCACATTGTGACGAGTGAATGCAGTAAACTAGATTGTGTGAAGTGCAGGTAAAGTGCTGCATCACCTGGAGGTATGTTTGGGCCCTTGGATGCTGAGGTGGTAAATAGGCATGTTACACCTTCGGCGATTTTATCCCGGAGGGAATGGTCCCTGCAGAAGATGGACAAGAAAGGGGAGGGAAATATGTTTCTGGTGATGGTTTTCAGAAATGACTGCTAATGATCTTCTGGATGTGGATGCTGGTGGGATGATAGGTAAGGACAAACAGACTATTGCGGGAGGAAAGTGGAGGGGAGGGCTGAAGTGCGGGAGATGGTCAGACCCGGTTGAGAGCCCTGTCAACAATGGTGCTAGGGAATCCTCAGTTGAGGAAGGAGGTAGACATTTCAGAGGGCTCCTTGTCGAAGTTGGCATCATCAGAACAGATGTGATTGAGATGGAAAAACTGGGAGAATGAAAGGAAATTTTTACTTGAAGCAGGGTGCAAGGATGTGTAGCCCAGGTAACTGTGGGAGTTGGTGAGTTTATAGACGATATTAGTAGCCAATCTATCCCCAGAAATGGAAACAAAGATGTCAAGGAAGGAAAGGGAGGAGTCAGAGATGGACCAGGTGAAAGTGAGGGCAGGGTGGAAATTGGTAGGAAAATCGATAAACCTTTGCAATTCCAAATGAGAGACTCAAGCAGCACGAATTATATCATCGATATCCCAGAGAAAGAGTTGTGGGTGGGGACCAGAATAGGACTGGAACAAGGAATGTTCCACATACTACATGTAGAGATAGGCAAAACTAGGGCCCATGTGGCTACCCATGGCCATCCCTCTGACCTGAAGAAAACAAGAGGAGTTAAAAGAAGAGGATGTTTAGGATGAAGACAAGCTTGGCCAAGCGGAGAAGGGTAGTGCTGGGTGGGGACGGTTCAGGCCTTTGTTCCAGGAAGAAGTGGAGAACCCTGAGACCAATGCTGGAGAAACTTCAGAGACTTGGTAGCATCTGTGGAGAGAGAAACAAAATTAACTTTCCAGTCTTCATAAGAGCCATATTCAAACTGTTAATTATGCTTCTCTCTCCATATATACTGGAACTGTTGAGTTTCTCCAGTATTTCTTCTGTTTGTATTTCCATCTGTTTCTTTCCATCCTTTCATTTATGACTAGCACATTTCCTCAGTAAAGGATTGTCTACTTTTGAAGAAGCTTCCATTTAAATAAATAATGTCTAGAAATCCAAAATGATAGAACTTTATTCTAATATTAGATTGCATGCCTAAATTTTATGTAAAGTTTTTGGAAATCCAAGCTGTAGCTCACCACTATCTTTTTCCACGCTTTGTTGTCAGGCTGCTTCTCTGACACCAACAACTGGTTGAAAAGATAAACCTTCAGCTTTCCACTGCGTATACTGAGGCAACTGTCTTTGGCCCTCACTATATTCAGTGTCGCCCAGCCATCAATTCCATTTGTTGGCCATTAGCTGAGACTGAAGCAGGATGCTATGAAACCTGACCCTCTGTGAATTTTCAGACAATGCATACTTTGCAACAGCAATCTCTTTAATGTCAGCCTTGCCTATGCCCATCTGTTACTGCAACCACGTTAATTTATTTTTGCTACTTCCCGATCCAACTGTTCCTATTCTCTGCTGGTGAATCGATGTTTGCCTTCCACCCACATGTACTTGAACTGAAGCAAAATGCTGTTGCCCATGTCCTAATTTGTCCCACATTCCATTCACCTTTTTTCTTCTCTCTCTTTGGCTGACATTGACTCTCAGTTCAGTAATTTCTTGATTTTAAAATTCTCAAACCCTTGTAAAATGCCTCCATCTTTATTTCACTACTCTCTTCCCACCCTACAACACTTCAAGAACTCGAGGTCTAATCCCGAATGATCTCCAATTTAATTGCCTCATCGTTCGCTGCTGTAACGTCTGCTGTACAGGCTCTACGCTGGATAATTTTCCCATGGAAAACTCCCTCCTCAGCTTGGGACATTTTACTACTTAAAGGTGCCATAGGAATGCAAACTTGTTGTTTAGGACTGCAGAGGTATCCTGTAAGGATTGGAAAGGAAAATGTGCCAGCTGCATTCAGAATTATTAGGAGAATCTGCATTTGGAATTCTAGTTTTAAGTGTTTCATTAGTAGGGTTTATTGAATTAAATTGAATAGTGTAACAGTCTTATTATAAAGAGATCATTGAGGCCATTAATAAAGGTAATTCACCACCATTCTTAGGGTATGTCTACATACGCAAATACATCCACAAACTGCAACTTGTCTCTTGCATTTATAACTTAATTCTACCTTTAACCGGCATGAATTTCTTTTTAAAGAGCGCTGTTACCATGTGTGCTTTGCTCTTGGATCCTCCAAAGTTATGATTGGGATGTCCTAAATATGTGCAACCTGTTGTCCATTAATCACTACCCTGTCATCTCGGTCCTTCCAAATATAAAATGAGAACCCAATAAAAAAAATAGTTGGAGTTCCAAAACCACAATAGTTGCATATGGACTTCTTTTTATCTTCAACCTTTCCTGCACACCTGATCCATCCATTCCACATTTTTTTCCTGAAGAAGGGTCCAGACCCGAAACGTCAGCTTTCCTGCTCCTCTGATGCTGCTTGGTCTGCTGTGTTCATCCAGGTCCACACCTTGTTATCTCAGACTCCAGCATCGGCAGTTCCTACTATCTCACACCTGAGCATTATTCCTCAGTAGTCAGTATTCCGGGAGCAAAAGGGAAAATGTTGGTAATACTCAGCAGTTCTGACAACATCTGTGGGGAGAATCGAACGTTTCAGGTGTAACCTGTCCAACAACATCAGTTCTCTTAGCAGATATTACATCGTCTGCTCAATGTGTTACTTTTGTTTGAGTTTCAATTTTCGCAACTCTGTTTAATATAGTAAATGGGAAGTTTGGCTCCCCCTATTGTTCCTTCTAGAATCACCCTTCCTCTGGAGTAAAGGCGCGCCACGTTTATCGAACAAGATCAATTCTTGGCAGGAGGTGAAAAACCTTACTAAAGTAACTTCTCCCAGTTCTTCTATCAGGTCGAACAGTAATCGGTTCCACTGTCAAACGCTTCCGCTTAAAAAAAAACTGGGGTGAAATACAGACTTTCGGTCCGAAAGCATGCAGCAATTTTTGTTTTAAACAACTCGAAAGGCACGTTTATGTCGCCTGCATTCTACGGGACTGCATGAGCTCTGGAGAACTGGCATATATGAGGCAACACGTTGAAATGATAGGAAGTGAAGATTGGCGGTAAGACATTCAGCTTCAGCGCTGGGTGTAAGAAACGGAAAGATTTTATGTGCAGTGCTAACTGACTTTCAAATCGGGGACTTGCAGTCATTCAAATTCGTCTTTGGGTGAGCAGCTGTTGGCATGAAGATCGAATTTGCCCCTATAAATATCCCTCTGAGGAGGAGGATTCAGACGTTTGCTGTTCTCAAGTGGATCTTCACTTTTTTGTTCTTAGGTATTTTTTCTTTTTGCTGTAATTTTGATTGCGGAAGAAAGAATTTAGTCTTTTTTTTAACGAAGTGATGAGCTGACATTTCCTCAGGTTCCAGACACTTGCAGACATTTGACTATTGTCATTTGACTATTGTATTGACTTGACTATTGTTAAATCGATTTCAAGGGATATGTAAGATCCTGAACAAGTTTATTGCTATAAGCAGTGTATTTGCATTGTGGTGTTAAAATTGTCAGAGGGTTTGAGATATTTTCTTGAAATGGTTCTTGTTTTAACAGCAGCAGTAACTTGCTTTTGTTGAGAGATGGTAAGAACTGCCGATGCTGGACACAGTGTGGAGCTGGAGGAGCGCAGCAGGCCAGGCAGCATCACAAGAGCAGGAAAGAAATGCATTTCTGAAGAAGGGTTTCGACCCGAAAGGTCAACTTTCCTGCTCCTCTGATGCTGCCCGGCCTGCTGTGCTCCTCCAGCTCCACTCTGTGTTGTAAACTGCTTTTGTTTGATGTCTTTAATGTAGAGGAGCATTTTACAATATCACCCAGCACGGACACCAGCGAGACATGTTGGAAGGTCGGCAGTTTAATGAATAAAGGAAGCAATACAGGAAAAGGTAGCTTTATGAAGTGCATAAACTTGGAACGGGCATGAGACCGTAGAAGAGAGAAGTTAGAGAAAGCCATGTGTTGTTCAGGGCGAGAGCAGGAAGGAATATTAGAGAAATATAGGTTGCTGGACAATGGGAAGGTAGACGCAACAACTGGTTGGTCAGAATTTTAATAAAAAATAAATCCATGAGCTCCTGGAAATCATACTTTAATTTGATTTCATTTAATACTGTCACGTGTACCGAGATACAGCTGAAAAGTGTCTTTACAGGCAGATCGTATAATACAAGGACATCAGGGTAACGGAACAGTGCAGGATTCAGCGTTGAGCTGCAGAGAACGTGCAGAGAGAGATCAAATTTAACAGTAAAGAGGTCCGTTCAAAAGTCTGATAACGGTGGGGAAAATAGCTGTTCTTGATTCTGTTTATATATTTATGTGAACTTTTATATCTGCTGGTCAGAAGAGCATGGAGGAGAGTATAGGGGTGGGAGAGGTATTTGGTTATGGTCTTCTGAAGAAGGGTCCAGGCCCGACACATCAGCTTTCCTGCTCCTCTGATGCTGCTTGGCCTGCTGTGTTCATCCAGCTCTACACCTTGTTATCTCAGTATTTGGTTATGTTAGCTGTTTTATGGAGGCAAGGGAAACATAGATGAAGTCAATGAATGGAAGGCTGGTTTGTGTGATGGACTGAGCTGTGTTCACAGCTCTCTGTAGTTGGGGCCCAAGCAATGATTTGTATCAGTTTTTAGCATTACTGCCTTTGCTTTTATTGACCTCATATTAGCTTAGGATTCCATTTTAAAAACATAAGTCAATTTGTTAGCCACTTGTAAAGTAAATTGTATCGGGACCTTAAACATTTACTCTTTTCAACATTTCATCAGTTAGTAAATAACTTACCTTTATTCTCACATGCACAATACATTATCTTGTAGCTTTCCACATTAAAATCTTAACTGATGGCAACCTACCCTTTAAAGAAAATAATTTCCATTTACATAGCATCCTTCAGGAAATATGTATCTATGTATGAAACAATCCAAACAGAAAAAACGTTGCAGTAAAAGTTGGAGATGTTAGATGAGTAGAAAAAATAAAATTAGATGGAAATATTTTCAGTTAGGGGCTAATAATACAAAAGGAAGCCAAGCTGAAAATACAGAGGGAAGCAAAAAGAAAGATTAAAAAGTATAAACAAAAACTGAAAAGTAATATAAAGATATAACATAAAGTACAGGATTAATAATAGTTAATCAATGTTTTTGAGACCAAGATGTTCCCCCAGTCCATCAGTGCTGAAACCATTGCAGTTATCAAAGTATATAAATAGTCTTGCGTCGGGTATAAAGGATACACTATCAAAATTTGCAGACAGCCTAAATAAAGAGCAGGCTTACTGTGAGGAAGGCTGTGTATGATTTCAGGATAATTACATTGGCTCTTGCACTTCTTTCAGAAAAGTTTCTGTGAAAACTGATATTTACCACTACTGACACAAAAACAGAAGTTGCTGGAATAGCTCAGCAGGTCTGGCAGCATCTGTGAAGGGAAATCAGAGTTAACATTTCAGCTCCGGTGACTCTTCCTCAGAACTGATGGTAGCTAGGAAAATGTTAGTTTATATGCAGAAGATAGGGTGGGGGGAGGGATAGGAATAGATGATAGGTCGGGATAGAGCCCAAAGAGAGAGAAGACAGTTGGACAGACAAAGGAGTGGATAACAATCAGGCTAGGAGGGTGAATAGCTGTTATTGGAAACTGTTAGTGGCTAACAATAGGTAGTGTGTAATGGCAGACAATGTGATAACAAGGCCTGGTGTGTGGGATAGGGGTCTAGGGCATGGGAGAGTTAAGGCCCTAAAATTATTGAACTCAATATTGAGTCTTGGAGGGCTGTAGGTTCCCCAAGTGGAAAATGAGGTGTTGTTCTTCCAGCTTGCGCTGAGCATGCATTAAGCTTTGCTGGAACACTGCAGCAAGCCAGAGACGGAGATGTTGACCAGGGAACAGGGTGGTGTGTTAAAGTGGCAGGCAACTGGAGGCTCCGGGTCTTTTTTGCAGGCAGAGCATAGATATTCTGCGAAGCAGTCACCCAGTCTACCATTTGTTTCCTCAGTTTAGAGGAGACCACATTGTGACGAGTGAACGCAGTAGACTAGATTGTGGGAAGTGCAGGTAAAGTGCTGCTTCACCTGGAAGGTATCTTTGGGCCATTGGATGCTGAGGTGGGAGGAGGTAAATGGGCGGGTATCACATCTTCAGGGGAAGGTGTCGTGGGGCTATGCATTGGGAGTGAAGGAAGAGTGGACTAGGGTGTCCCAGAGGGAATGGTCCCTGCGTAAGTAGGACAAGGGAGGAAAGGGGAATATGTGTCTGGTGGTGGCATCTCGCTGGAGGTGATGGAAGTAGAAGCTGATGATCTTCTGGATGTGGATACTGGTAGGATGGTAGGTTCTGAGCAAGGGTCATTGGACCTGAAACATTAATTATGATTTCTCTTCACAGATGCTGCCAGACCTGCTGAGCTGTTCAAGCAACTTCTGTTTTTGTTTCTGCTTTACAGCATCTGTAGTTCTTTCGGTTTTTATTTACCACTACTGCGTTTGCTTCAACCTTCACAATATATTTCTGTTTCTCATCTCAAACTCTCCTTACCCACAAGCGTTTTGTTATGTTTTATTTATGTTTACTATTTCTCTATGCCATGTGTCAATTTTAGATCACTTGGCTGGATGGCTAGTTTGTGATGCCAGTAGTGTGGCTTCAATTCCTGCACCAGCTGAGATTAATGTGAAGGATTCTCCTTTACAACTTCTCACCTTGCCTGAGGTGTGCTGACCCTCTGGTTGAACCATTGTTTTTCTCCAGTGAGACAGCAGCCCTTTGGTCTGATAAGACTGTAGTGATTTTACCTCCTACGTAGGCACTATGCTCGACTGTTCCTGGAGAAAGAGTAAGCCAGTAGAACCCGGATTGAAAGTTTATATTTTATTTGAAACTTAACCACTCTGGCATTTGATAAACATTAGATCTAGTTGAAGGACCTTTAGAAATAAAGAAAGGTTCACCGGAATTTGCGTAATAATGATTTTAGGAAATCATGTGGTTTGCAATATGAAGAGTATTCTGCAATAATAGTTATCTACTAGTAGGCTTGGATCTCTTATACTTGACACTTTTTCTTGTAAAGTATTAAAGTGATGTCCTGGTCAATATTTGTCCCTCAACCAATATCATTAAATACAGATAATATGATCATTGGGTTAACTTTGCTGTTCCTGAACTTTTATTGCACAAAAATTAATACCCTTGTTTCCTACATTACAGCAATGACTATATTTCAAAAGTACTTTGTTAACTGTAAAGCACTTTGGAACATCCCCAGTCCATGAAAGGCACTATATAAATGTGGGTTCTGGCTTTTGTGATAATATTTAGAAACTGTGATGTGCATTTTAGTAGCATTCTGACTATCAAATAAAAACATCCAACTACCATTTTTGCTGAAGTTTGACATGTCATATGTATTTCGTATTGTGGCTGAGGCAAATGTGAATTAATTATAGTTTGGTCACAGCTTTCTATCTTCACAGGTCAATGCTGCCTGTTACTCTTTGTGGCGCTCATCTTGGCTGGTTACTGGTATGTTGCTGCAGTTTACTCTGTTTGGTTGTATCTTGACTGGGAGACACCAAATCAGGGTGGAAGAAGGTCAGAGTGGGTCAGAAACTGGACTATCTGGAATTACTTCCGGGACTACTTTCCTATTCATGTAAGTTGGTGTTCATTATCATATCTTGAAGAGAACCATACTTACTGTACTTAACAGGAGGCCCATTAGTGTTTGGTAACAGCTTTATAAAACAAAACTTTGGAATATTGTTTTCAATACTAGTTGGAATTCTTTAGATTTAATAATGTTAATAGGATAATTAGCCACTTCTCATAAAGGGCCAAATGCACCTCTCTCTATTTGAGAAGGACAGTTGGTTACATATAGCTTAAGGGGCACCACTCCATAAACAAGGAGCCAAGCCTCCATGAACTAGCACATGCTATTGGGCATACTGCATTAAACTCTAGCCATCAAGATAACTGACTCCCAAAAGATACAACCTTCAACACCATAGCACTCTGTCAGTACTACATGACTATCAGCTTTAAATTTGTGGCCAAGCCCTGGAATGAGACTTGAACATTGTGACTCAGGATTGTGTGCTACCCACTGAATCATTATTGAGGTATTCATTCAATTTAGGGAAGTGGAAATCCTGGTTGAATGTTAATGACATGCTAATTGTTTCATTCCCACATATGGACATCATGGAAATGAATTTAAAAAACCTTACTAACAATATTTTGGAATTTAGGATGTAAGGTACAGTACAGTGAGGGGAATTGACACTGTTCTCTGCAGGAAGGGGTGCGAGTTCAGATGCCGTGTTTTCTGTAAGTGCCAGAGATCAATATATCAGCTCTGGGCTGGAGAAGAACTAGCAATGGGAGGAGGGAGGGTCCAGTGGTCATGATCCACATCACACCTATACCAATGAGATAAGTAGAAGTATGAAGAAGGTTCTGCTGAGTACAAGAAGTCAAGTGCAAAAATGAAAAGTGGAACTTCAAAGGTAATAATCTCTGAATTACCATCTCAGCCACATGCAAATTGCAGCAAGGATAATTAAGATTATAGAAGTGAATCATAACTCAAAGACTGGTGTGGGCAAAGTGAGTTCTGGTTTGTGGGGCACTGAAACAAGGAAAGTGAAATCTATAGATATTTTTGAATCAATATACATCATTATACAGCTCTGGAACAGGCTGGACATGAACCCAGGACTCCTGGCTCAGAGGAAGGAACATTAACACTGCACCACACCTGAAACATACTGAGTCTGATGTTCTTATGAACCACATAATTAGGGAAGTAGAAGGCTTTAGCTAAATAAGGTGGGTGAGGGGTCAAGCTTGAGAAAACGTAATGAGTTATAGGATCAATTTGGGGCAGGGCAGAAAATAATAATGTGGAAAATAAAACTCAGAGAATGGCAGGAAGGGCCAGAAAGAATAAACCTTAGAATATACCTACAACCAAGACTAGATAGTACAAAGATAACAAAAATTGAAACTAAATGCTCTGCATCTGAATGCACGTAGCATTCAAAACCAAGTAAATGAATTGATGATGTACATTGAAGTAAATAACTATGATCTGACAACCATTACAGAGATGTGGCTGCAGGCTGACGAGGATTGGGTTCTGAATATTGAGGGACTGGAGGATATATCATATTCAAGAGGAACATGAAACCAGATAAAGGCAGAAGAGTAGTGTTCCTAATCAAAGATGGTACAGTCAGTCCCTGAGTTGCGAACAGATTCTGTTCTTGAGCCCTTTTGCAACTTGATTTGTATACAGTTCAGAACACCATGCAAGACAACATAAAATTGCTGTTCAGGAGTACAGGAAACATTCATATGTCAGATCATTAAAATTACACCCACAGCATGGGATCATGTTTGTAAGTACAAGCATTTGTAAATTGGACTTCCATAAATCGGGGAACCCTGTATTCATACAATATTAGACATGACCTCAGTTCAAGATATCAAGATATAGAATTGGTTTGAATGAAAATAAAGAATATTAAAGGAATGAAGACACTTGTAAGAGTGATCTACAGGCATCTGAATAGTGACTGCATTGTAAGAAGTATACAAGAACAAATATTGGGTGCTTACGGTAAAGGAACAGCATAAATTATGGTGATACTAATTTACATATAAATGTAAAAAATTAGTTTCCTAATAGTATCCCAAATGAGGAGTTAAAAGAATGCTTTTGAGATAATTTCTTAGAGCAGCACATTTGGAACTGACCAGAGAGCAGCCTATATTAGCCTTGATGTTATGTAATGTGACAGGCCCAATTAATGACCACAGAATTAAGGTACTTCGAGATAGCAGCGACTATTTGAATTTTGAGTTGAATTTTAAATCCAGTTTGAAAGGGAGAAACGTGAGTCCGAGACCAATATTTTAAACTTAAAAGGGGCAACTAATGGGCATGAAAGCTGAGCTACCTAAAGTGAACTAGAATATTAGGCGAGGAGACAAATCAGAAAAGCAGTGGATGATATTTAAAGAGATATTTTAGAATACTCAGAATAAGTACACACCTATAATAAAGAATAAATCCAAGGAAGAACCCACCATCCGTGCTGAACTAAAGAAATTAGAGAGCGCATCAAACTTGAGGCGAAAACATAAATTGTGCAAAGGTAAGCTGCAGTTCAGGTGTCCAGCTGGAATAAAAAGATTGGCACAGGATGATTAAAAGGTTAATCAAGAACAATAAATTAAAGCATGAGAGAAAGTTGGCTAGAAATTTAAAAACAGAAAGCAAGAGTTCATAAAGGAAAAGAGTAAGTAAAGGAAGTGTTGATCTATTTCCAGTGAGAATGGGGAACAAAGAAATAGTGGGTCCGATGAAATTTGTTTGTTTTTGTTTCTGTCTTACTGTGGAGGACACAAAAAATTCCAGCAAAGCTGTAAATCTGGAGGTTGAAGAAAGAGAGGAACTTGGTGAAATTATAATCATTAAGGAAGCAACATCACCCAAACTGATGAAGCTGCAAGTTGACAAGTCTCCAGATTCTAATGAAATTCATCCTAGAGTCTTAAAATAGCTGGCAAATGAGACACATTGGTATTAATTTCCCAAAGTTCATTTGATTCTAGAAAGGTTCCATAAAACTAGAAAATATAACCACACAGTTCTAGAAGAGAGGGAGGCAGAAAACAGGAAAACATAGTCCAAAGACAGAGATAGTAGGAACTGCAGATGCTGGAGAATCTGAGATAACAAGGTGTAGAGCTGGATGAACAGAGCAGGCCAAGCAGCATCAGAGGAGCAGGAAGGCTTTTCGTTTTGGGCCTAGACCCTCCTTGAGAAATGGGGGAGGGGAAGGGGGTTCTGAAATAAATAGGGAGAGAGGGGGAGGCGGATAGAAGATGGATAGAGGAGAAGATAGGTGGAGAGGAGACAGACAGGTCAAAGAGGCAGGGATGGAGCCAGTAAAGGTGAGTGTAGGTGGGGAAGTAGGGAGGAGATAGGTCAGTCCAGGGAGGACTGACAGGTCAAGGGGGCGGGATGAGGTTAGTAGGTAGGAGGTGGGGGTGGGGCTTGAGGTGGGAGGAGGGGATGGGTGGGAGGAAGGACAGGTTAGGGAGGCGGGGACGAGCTGGGCTGGTTTTGGGATGCGGGAGGGGGAGGGGAGATTTTGAAGCTTGTGAAGTCCATATTGATACCATTAGGCTGCAGGGTTCCCAAGCGGAATATGAGTTGCTGTTCCTGCAACCTTCGGGTAGCATCGTTGTGGCACTGCAGGAGGCCCAGGATGGACATGTCGTCTGAGGAATGGGAGGGGGAGTTGAAATGGTTCGCGACTGGGAGGTGTAGTTGTTTAGTGCGAACCAAGTGTAGGTGTTCTGCAAAGCGGTCCCCAAGCCTCCGCTTGGTTTCCCCGATGAAGAGGATGCCACAACGGGAACAGCGGATGCAGTATACCACATTAGCAGATGTGCATGTGAACATTTGCTCGATGTGGAAAGTCTTCTTGGGGCCTGGGATGGGGGTGAGGGGGGAGGTGTAGGGGCAGGTGTAGCACTTCCTGCGGTTGCAGGGAAAAATTCCAGGTGTGGTGGGGCTGGAGGGGTGTGTGGAGCGGACAAGGGAGTCCCAGAGAGAGTGGTCCCTCCAGAAAGCAGATAAGGGCGGGGAGGGAAAAATGTCTTTGGGTCGGATTGCAGATGGCGGAAGTGTCGGAGGATGATGCGTTGGATCCGGAGGTTGGTGGGGTGATACGTGAGGACAAGGGGGATTCTGTTTTGGTTGTTATTGCGGGGAGCCTTCCTGCTCCTCTGATGCTGCTTGGCCTGCTGTGTTCATCCAGCTCTACACCTTGTTATCTCATAGTCAGTCCAAAGACATGCAGGTTAGGTCGATTGGCTGTGCTAAATTTCCTATACTATCCAGAGGTGTGCAGACTAGGTGGATTAGCCATGGGAAATGCAGGGGTACATGAATAGGAACGGTTTGGAGGGATATGGGCCAGCAGCAGGCAGGCAGGACTTGTTTAGTTTGGGATTATGTTCGGCATTGACTGGTTAGACCAAAGGGTCAGTTTCTGTGCTGAATGACTCTATGACTAAGATCTGACAAATCCCAGGAGTTGATGCCTGCATCCTGGACTAGGTACCATCTCATTTCTCCAGCAACTACGTGGTCCTCTGAGTCCATATGCAGCAGCAGGTGCAGAAAATGGAAGTAATGCATCGTCACAGTGCCGCATGCCAAACGACGTGCATGGACCCTTGCAGCACAGCCACACAGCTTAGATAGAATGTTGATTCTAGCGTTCCAAAGTAGGTGAATGATAAGTTTGCAAAATTCCTTTTATTCTGAAATAGTTCCAGCAGATTGGTAGGTACCAAATGCTGTACACTTTCCAAAAAAGGAAGGAGAGAGAAAACAAAGAACTATAGGCAGATTGTCTGACATTAGTAATAATGAAAGTACTGAAATCTAGTATTAAGGAGGTCTCAGTAATGATGTAGAAAATCTTAGAATGATCAGCCAAGTTAGGCATTGTTTTACAAAAGGAAAATTGTGACTGACAAATTTATAGACATTTTAAGGGAGTAACTAATAAGCTAATAGATAAAGAGGAATCAGTAGATGTAGTATCGAGTGCAGTCGATATGATGCTAACTGAAAGTCGTTTTAGTTAGGAGAAATATATTAGCATTGATGGGAGATTGGTTGGAGGTCAGGAAGAAAATGTAGGCATAAATGGGGCATTCTCAAGTCAGCAGGGACCAGTGGAGCACAAAAAGAATTTGACTGCAGTTATTTATAATCCTTATTAACAACTTAACAAAGTGACAGAGAGTACTGTAGTTATGTTTGCAAGCAATTCAGAGTTTAGATGGAAATGAAGTTCTAATGAAGACACAGAAGCTGCAAGAGTTAAAGATAGTTTACATGAGTGGGCAACATGGAGTTTACTGCAGGGAAGTATGAAATTATTCAAATAAAAACCAAAAGAACTGCAGATGGTGTATATCAGGTACAAAAACAAAGTTGCTGGAAAAGCTCAGCAGGTCTAGCAGCATCTGTGAAGGAAAAAAGAGTTAACATTTCAGGTCCGGTGAAAATTATCCACTATCTTGAAACGTCCAGCTTAACCAAAGCTCAGGTATGGGATTTTAGGCATGACGTCTGAAGGCATAATCATTTATATTATCTAACATACCTTTGAAAATTTTTGTGTACATATTTTAGTTCTGAGGAAGGGTCACCGGACCCGAAACATTAACTCTTTTTTCCTTCACAGATGCTGCCAGACCTGCTGAGCTTTTCCAACATCTTTGTTGTTGTGTATGAATTATTCAGTTTGGTCATAAAAATAGAAAAGCAGATTATTTTTAAATGGTGTGAAATTTGTACATATTGGTGTTCAGGGAAACTTGGATGTGCTTGTACAAGAAACTTAGAAAATTAACATGTAGTTAGAGAAACAGGAGAGAAAATAACTTGTTAGTCTTTCTTGAAAGGGTATAGGAATAAAGAATTTTTGCTCCAATTCTAAAGGGCTTTGGTGAAACCAAGCCTGGAGTTCTGTATGCTGTTTTGGTCGCTACATTTACGGAAGGATATACTTGCATCGGAGGCAGTAGAGCAAAGGTTCACTGAATTGTTTTCTGAGATAAGAGACTTGTCCTGTGATGAGAGGTTGATTCGATTGGTTTTATATTCTCAAATTTAGAAAGATAAGAATTTATCACAAAGAAATAGGCAAGATTTTGAAGGGCTTGCCAGGATAGATACCAAGAGGTTGATTACACTAACAGAGGAATGTAGAATACAGGGACAGTCTCAAGATGAGAAGTTGATTATTTAGGATTGAAATGAGGAGAAGAGTATTCATACAAAAGAGTTGTGAATTTTTGGAATTCATTACCCCACAGGTTGTGAATATTGACTATAACTAAGACTGGAAATTTAGATTTTTTTTTGTTTCTTAGGGAATCAAGAGTTGGGACTTTGATCAGATGGGCCAATGCACTAAGGAGTGGCAGATAGAGTTTAATTTAGATAAATATGAGGTGTTGTATTTTGATAAGGCAAATCAGGGCAGAACTTGTACAGTAAATGGTAGGGTCCTTGTAAGGAGTGTTGCTGAACAAAGAGACTGAGGGGTGCAGGTGCACAGTTTCTTTGAAGTGGAGTTGCAGGTAGACAGGGTAGTGAAGAAGGCACATTTGCCTTTATTGGTCAGTGCATTGAGTATAGAATTTAGGATGTCATGTTGTGGCTACGGGATATTGGGTGAGGCCATTTTTGGAATATTGTGTACAATTCTGATCGCCTTTCTATAGGAAGGATGTTATTAAACTTGAGAGGGTGCAGAAAAGTTTTACAAGGATGTTGCCAGGACTGGAGAGTTTGAGCTATAGGGAGAGGCTGAATAGTCTGCGGCTTTTTTCCCTGGAGTATCGCAGAGTGAGGTGTAATCTTGGAGAAGTTTATAAAATCTCAAAAACTGTGTCACCTTGGTCTCCGCTCCGAGCCCTGCAACTGGATCCTCAGCTTTCTGACCCACAGACCACAATCAGTGAGGATAGGTAACTGCACCTCCTCCACAATAATACTGAACAATTGGAGCCCCCCAAGGATGCATCCTAAGCCCCCTACTGTACACCCTGTATACCTATGACTGTGTTGCCAAAATCCTAATGAACGCCATCTACAAGTTCACTGATGACACCACTGTAGTGGGACGGATATCTAACACCGACAAATCAAAATACAGAGGTGAGATAGAGGGCTTGGTGATGTGGTGCAATGAAAACAATCTGTCTCTCAACATCGGCAAAGCTAAAGAACTGATCATCGAATTCAGAACGAAAGGAGGAGAACATGCCTCCATCTACATCAACAGAACTGAAGTTGAGAGAGTGAAGAGCATCAAGTTTCTTGGAGAGACGATAACCAATGACCTGTCCTGGACTTCCCATGTAAATGCGACACTCAAGAAGGCACAACAACGCCTTGTCTTCCTCAAGTGGCTCAGGAAATTTGGCATGTCCATAAGGTCCCTCACCAAATTCTACAGATTCACCATTGAAAGCATACTGTCCGGGGGCATAACGGCCTGGTATGGCAACTGCTCTGCCCAGGACCGTAAGAAACTACAGAAGGTGGTGTGCACAACCCAGACCATCATAGAAGCCAGTCTTCCATCCATGGCCTCTATTTACACAGCTCGCTGCTGCAGAAAGGCAGCCAACATCATTAAAGATCCTTCCCACCCTGGCAATGATCTCTTACAACTTCTTCTGCCAGACAGAAGATTCAGAGCATGAACACACGCATAAGCAGGTTTAGGAACAGCTTCTTTCTGGCTGTTATCAGACTGTTGAATGGACTCTAGCCTCAAATAATGTAACATGCAATGTAACCTGTATGCCTCTAAGTCTTGTTGATCTGTATATCTTTTGCTTGCTGTGATCTGCCTGTACCGCTTGTAAACAAAGCTTCTCACTGTATTTCGGTACATGTACAATAAAATCAAAATCAAAATCAAATCAAAATCATGAGGGGCCTGGATAGGGTGAATAGCTAAGTTCTTTTTCCTATTGTGGGGAGTCCACAACTAGAGGACACAGTGTTTCAGGTAAGAGGGGAGAGATTTAAAAAGGACCTGAGGGGTAACTTTTTCATGCAGAGGGTAATGTGTGTCTGGAATGAGCTGCCAGAGAAAGTAGTAGATGCTGGTACAATTACAACATTTAAAAAGCATTTGGTTGGTTATATGAATAGGAAGGGTTTAGAGTGATATGGATCAAATGCTGGCAAGTAGGACTAGGTCAGATCGGGATATCTGGTCGGCACAGGTGAGTTGTCCGAAAGGTCTGTTTCCATGCTGTATGGCTGTATGATTCTATATTGGGAGCAAGCAGGAAAGAAAAGTTGAAGCCCAAGATCAGCCAAGATCATATCGAACAGTGGAGCAGATTGACATGCTGAATGGTCTACCCTTGGTTCTATTTCTTGTAGTCTCACAATCCCCACCTAAATTCAGTTTCAAAAAAGTATTGACATAAATATGAGACTATCATTGAACATTAGCACAAGCTGTTGGATTGTTACAAGATCCCAAATAGTTCACTAATGTCCTTTATGTAAATAAACCAACTGTTCTTATTGGCTTAATTGATTCCAGTCCGATATCATAACTGTCATCAAAAATGCCCGAACAGGTAAGTATTTATTGGGGATTGTTATAAAATGCATGTCTATCCAGTCACGCCCACATCCAAAGAATATACTTTTTAACACTTAAGTGTATGATTCTATGAGTAATCATGGGGTCAATACTGCATGTTGGCTAAAAATCATGCTGTCTCTTCAAACAGCACAATTATACTACTGGAATGTTGAGTTATCAGGCTTAGGCACTGCAAGGACAATAAGACCAGATATAAATACATATTTCTTCTCCTTTTGATCACTTTTTATAATAAATGTATTCAGTAATTTCAAGGAAAGTTACTGCTTTCCCACATTGTCAATGCTGTTTATCTGCCTGCATAGAAACAAGCAAATTAATACCAATCTGTGGTCATTTGTATTAGCTGGCCAGTGATTCAGGCTGGATTTGAACCAAAGACCCTGTGATGAAAAAATAATAACTTGCTTGTCCCACAATCACCAAAATATGTTCCTTTAACATAAATAGAAATTGCTGGAAAAGCTTCCATTCTTAGAAAGGGTCACTGGACCTGAAACATTAACTCTGATTTTCTCCACAGATGATGCCAGATCTGCTGAACTTTTCCAGCAATTTCCATTTTTGTTTCTGATTTCTAGCATCCGCAGTTCTTTCGGTTTTTGTTTATGTTACTTTAACACATTATTTTAGAAGTGTTTGATCTTTACAATATTACAGTTTTCAAGTTTGATTTTTTTTCAAAATGAGCATAGTCCTTTTAGTGAATTGTACTGAAATCTGTAACAAATTTATTTTATTCATCCTTTTTGACTCTAAGATTATTTTTTATTGTTCTGAAACATTTACTTGTATCTTTATTTAAGTATTGTTATTCATAGTTGACATAGCTGATTGATTCAGATTTATTTCCAATAAAAGCTCATGAAAACAACGGATCTGGATCCACAATACAACTATCTGTTTGGATTTCATCCTCATGGAGTGCTTGTGGCTGGAGCCTTTGGAAACTTTTGCAGTGAGGCTACAGGTTTTCATAAGTTGTTTCCGGGTTTGACCTCATATCTGTGCATACTGCCAGTCTGGTTCAAGCTTCCATTTTACAGGGATTACATCATGTGTGCAGGTAATGATTTCTATGCTTTGTTTCATTCACAAAGATTTGTTAGTTTAAGTTTCATTCAAACCCAGAATTCTTTCATAAATTCAAAATGCTGCATTAGATTGCTAATCTCATTTTATGCTTTTGTATTCCACAAAAATATACATAAGAGTCAGAGAACGCTACAGCATGGAAAGAGACTCTTTGGTCCAACTCATCCATGCCGACCAAGTTTCCCAAACTAAAATAGCCTCACTTGCCTGTATTTGACCCATATCCCTCTCAACCTTTCCTATTTATGTACCTGTCCAAATGTCTTTTAAATGTTATAACTGTACCTGCATCTACTACTTCCTCTGACAGTTCATTCCACAAATGAACCACCCTCTGTGTGAAAAAGTTGCCCCTCAGGTCCCTTTTAAATCTTTCTCCTCTCACTTTAAAATATGGCCCCTAGTTTTGAACTCTCCCACACTAGGGAAGAGACCTTTGCTAAATAACCTTATGCATGGGACTCAAGATTTTATAAGCCTCAACAAGGTCACCCCTAAACCTCCCAGCCTATCCAGCATCTCCTTATAACTCAAACTCTTGAGTCCCGGCAACATCCTGGTAAATCTTTTCTGAATTGTCTCCAATTTAATAACATTGTCCCTGTAGCAGGGACCAGAACCGTATGCAGTACTCCAAAAGTGGCCTCACCAATGTTCTGTACAGCCTCAACATGATGTCCCAACTCCTATACTCGATGGTTTGAGCAATGAAGGCAAGTGTGCTAAATGCCTTCTGTAGTCACCCTATCTACCTGTGACACAACTTTCAAAGAACTATGTATCTGAACCCCTAGATCTCTCTGTTTGACAGCACTACCCAAGGCCCTACTGTTAACTCTGTAAGTCCTGCCCTTGTTCATTTTATCAAAAGTCAATATCTCACATTTATCCAAATTAAATTCCATCTGCAACTCTTCAGCACATTGTCTCAATTAATCAAAATGCCTTTGTAATCATAGATAACCTTCACTGTCAACTACACAATCAATTTTGGTGTTATCTGCAAACTTTCTAACCATGCCTTCTAAATTCTCATCCAAATCATTTTTATAAATGATGAACAACAGTGGACCCAGCACCAACCTCTGTGGAACACTGCTGGTCACATGCCTCCAGTCCAAAAAATAATCCTCCACCACCACCCTCTGTTTCCTGCCGTCAAGCCAATTTTATATCCAATTGACAAACTCTCTTGAATCCCATCTTATCTAACTTTACTGAGGTCCATACAGACATTGTCTACCACTCTGCTCTCATCAACCTTTTTGGTTACATCAAAAAAACTTTCATTTTCTAATTTAGTAAAGTAGCAGTTTGAAGTAACCTGCATTTATAAATCACACACAGAAATTGAATCTTGAAAATGGCATTTGCTCAGGTGTATTTTAATTAGAAAATTAGCAAAATTTGGAACAAATTAGAAAATGCAAGCTGAGTGGTAAATTTACAGGGGTAATTTTAATCCTACAGGATTAGGCAGGTGATTGAAGGTAGTGTTAAAATTTCAAAAATGGGAAGCCTGACCCTAACTAGTTTCCATGGCAACGACTTTCAGTTTTTTGAAGCTGAGTGACTCACTGACTGTCCAGAGATGGATTTATAATCTAAATATTGAATTGAGTCTCAAATAATTGCTGTACCATACAATTAATGCCTGTAGGCCTTGTGTCCTGCAGCTCAGGAAACCTTGCTGCTTTAGGTAGTTGAATGTTTTGTGTGATGTGTTTTAATAACCACTCCTTCTAAAGTGAAAGCAAGTTACCGCAGAGGTCACCTGGTATTATGGTAAGACAAACAGATTTCTTCAAACATCCTCTTTAGGTTAAAGAATAAATTTTTAAAAACTTGTATGCACTGTCATTTACAGTTGTAAGCTACCCACTACAAACGGGCAACATCAGAAACTATAAATCTGAAACAAATCTTTCTTAATTCTAATCTGTCCCACTTTCACTAATATATGTACATGCATCGCACACATAAATTTAAATCATGTAGACCTTCTACTGATATGTGTGTGCATTGTTGTTTGCTGTTCATCTGTTATTTGGCTGTTCTTAGGGTGATATTCCATCTCATGGGTGTGCCATTTCCATGGAAAATGCTATTGCCTTGAAAACTGATATTGCTGATTCATTACTCTTGTTGCAGCATGTGGGATCTCTGGTATTAGTAACGGCTCTGAACTCTATGCAGTTGGTGACATCATTTCTTGCTCATATGTTGTCTGCAGTGAAGGAGCAGCTATTTTTGCTTGTATGTATATGTCTGCCATTACAGTGTAGCTGGTCAAATAAGTTACCATGTACGAACAAGGTGGCAGCTCCTCTACACAGGTTCCAAGTTGCCATGTTGAATTGAGAGCATTGAACATTTACACTCGGACAATGCTCAGCTTTGGCAATGGTTTGGCAACTTAATCAAAGTGAAATTTAGCTTTCTGTCATTTCATTTTGATTTTGCCATTCACTCCTGTTACTATTTCTGCATTTAGTAGTTTGTTTTTAGTAATTGGAAGAGAAGTTGGGGTTGCAGCATGACATTGCTTATTTGAGTGGACCACTTTCCATACCTTCAATAAGTGTATTTCTCCACTCTAGGATTGCCTTGCACAAGTCTGTGCTGGATTTACTCAATTTTTTTTTTAATGATCCCATTGGTGATTTTAATTGCCTACTCAACCTTTCCAATTGACAAGGATAATGTGAAGATAATTTGTAGTGCTGAATTTCTCAATCACCTGAAGTTTTCACCTGTGAATTGAGGGCCATTATCACTCATCACAATGTCTGGACTGACTTAACCTGAAAGTGTGATTTCAGGCATTCTGTAATCTGACGAGTAGTCATTGATGTGAGCTGGTCTAACTCCCAGTAATCAGAAACGTAGTTGATAGTGACAAGATGATAAGTTCCTGCAAGAGCGAAAATGTCCACTCCAAGCTTCATCCTTGATTTGTTTGGGATGTTAAAGGTCAGGAGAGGCTCTTTAGCTTGCTTGGGTTAGAATAAGTGACAAGCACTGCACCAGCTGATCTAATTGCTGATGTGTGGCCACTAGAGCACTAATATTGTCTTCCTCAACCTAGAGTCACTTCCTTGATAGCTTGCATGGATATGCTTCAGCTTCTGTTCTCTCATCTCCCTAGAGATTCTATTTCCTTGTACAGGATGTCATCTTGGGCTAACATTTCACTACCATAGGCCCTATACTGTCCCATGGAAACAGTGTGCCCTTGACAGTTTCTGGTTACCCTTTCATACTACTTCCTGTAGTATCTTCTCATGTAGCTTGTTTGATTTGAGCAGGACACTTGTCTTCCAAGTTCAATGACTCCTCTAGTTTGATGAGTTCTAGAGAATGTTAAACTATTGTTTTTCTTTGAATCTGGAAAAGTTCACACTCCACTTTAGCTACCTCAACATTCTTCATAGGGAATGCCAAACTTGACAATATGTCAGCAATGTACGTCTGTTTCCCATGACTATATTGTCATGTCCGGTTGATATCTTTGCAAATGCAGTAGCATTCTTTGCAGATGCTTCAGAGCAGATTAAAGTGGGTTAAGGAAGATGCTTTGAAGTGGGTTGTGGTTAGACTCCATTGTTACTTGGTCTCTCGCAAACATGTAATTTTTAATGTTTTTAATGTTATAACATTTTTATAAGACAATGACCAGGTACTCTACCTGTGCATAGCATCACTCAGTTTGCATTAATGGCTTGGATGTAAATGCAAATGGTTGCTCTTGCTGTATACTGGTTGTCCCAGTTCCTGTTTTTCTGATAGATACTGCAAGATGACTTAGTCGTTGACATTGTAGAACCTCATCTCTGACATGTCACCACCAGCTGTTTGGTTCTAGTGAAAATTGTTGCTTCTTCTATGCCCCAGTAACACTGTACATCGATAGCAGTCAGCTGGAATAGATCTTTACGTTCTGATAAATTAGACATGAACTTTGCCGAATAGTTTACAAATCCAACAAAGCATCACAGTACTTTTATATGTATTAGTTGCAATATCTCTGCTACAGCTGTCACCTTGTTAGGATCTGTTATCTATGCATACTCACATACTTGACTCAGGCATTTTCAATTGTGTCTTACTTTTTGTTGTTCTGGTGAGCCCTTTCTAGCAGTCACCCAAAATGAGATCATAGTCTTTGATGTCTTCTTCCATCATATCTCTACATCCATAGACCAAGGGATCATCCATGATAGGTTCCATTCCCAGATCACTGACTATCTTGTGCTACCTAAATATCAGGGCTTAAATCAGATCAGAGTCTAGGCATATACTTTTCTAGTGAGTGTTTTGTTTCTATTTTTTTAAGTTTTAAAATTGATATTTTTTTAATCAGCTTGTACAGAGATATTATTGCACACCCCTGGAGCAGGTGGAACCTGGGCCTCCCAGGCCAGGGGTAGGGACACTACTATTGTGCCACAAGAGGGCTTCCAGAGTTTTGTTTCTACTCACACTCCAGAAACTCAAACCACATTACTTTCCTCATTGATACATCCAATCAAACGTTCACTGAAAACTATCCCTCATTTATCAGATATCCATCCTCTATTGCCTCGTTTGATTTGATCTCAGATATTTATGTCAGACCCTAGTAGATTATAAAATGCACAATCATCTCTTGGCATCCTTATTAAACACCTTATTAAACATGTTTATTTGTAGAGGTAAAGTCTATCAATCAAACATTAGTCAATAAAACAAGGAAGACAATTTAATAGAAAGACCAAACAGGAAACAATTATGTTCTCTTGCACTGATGCATTCTGATGCTTAATGGAACATATTACATGTAATTATGCAAATTAATTTTAGCAGAAGCTTTAAAAACAACATTCAGTGTAACTTCAAATGTATTGTTCAACAGTTCAGAATGCAGTAAGGAAACTGTTGTTTTCATCCAAATTCATGTACAAGTAGCCATCCTCTACAATTTGGATAGCATAGACCTGTACCTCGGAAAGTTTTGGCAAAACCTTCTTCAATGTTGGTTCAGGGTGGTGAAATCACTTCAAAGCTTTATTGAGATCCATTGAATCTATGCATTCTCTCATCTTTCCAGATTTATTTTCACTGCTATCATGTTGCAAATCCAGTCTGTAGGAGTTTCTCTCTTTTACTTAGTCACTTCTTTTCCAGCTATTCTACTATTTCTTTCAGGCTGGACTTGAGGGCAACTGGATCTCTCCTCAGCGTAAGCTGTGTTATTTTCACACTCTTATCTACCTCAAGATAATATTCACCAAGAAGTCATCCATGACGTGCACAAACAATTTTGTAATCTTATAAAATATGCTGAGTAATCTCAGGCTAATTAGCCTGTGAAATGCTGAAAATCTCTTCTGACGTGTGTATGGTTACCAGTCCAAACTTTATACTTGCATCAGCTGAGATGAGTGATTTTGCTTAAAATTTACTATCTGAAACTGCAGATTTTTGTTCTTTCCATTGGATTGGGCTCTGAGCTTTGTGTGTCTTTATGGAATGAATATTGCTCCATTATATAGCCTCAACCATACCTATGAGGCTGAATTTTCAGGTGACCCGTGTAGGGTTATGTTGCACTCATCTGCAAAGCTTATCATATGAAGCACTGGTGGGTTTTTTTTTAAGCATTTCTCATTCATGTGATGCTCTCCTTCTGATTTCATCATTTTAACAATTAAAAAAAATTTAACACTTTTAGATGACAATGCCAACCTGTTGTTTAATGTAGAAAGATTCATCAGACATGCAACATCTCTCCAGCAGCCAACTTTTTAGGATTGCTTTGTTTCATGCAGCTAAACACTGCAAGCAAAATGATTCCTCCTTTTGTAGTTAGAACACTGCTTTCTCTGTGTTTGATATGCTTGCTTTTCATTTTTGTGGTGTTCCTTCTATACTCTGGTCTTGACCTTTCTGCTAGCTGTTTCACAATTATTTATTAGCAGAGACATAATCTGTGTCTTTAAGGCCTTCAAACGTTCTCCAGCCTGGCTTTCTCCTCCTCAAGTTGGATCTATAATGCAATACAACTTGTAGCACTCTTTTCCCAACACTGGTAACAGAGTTGATACTCTTGTTCATTCAGGCTTCTTATTCAGTTCTGCAACTACATCATAGTTTTGCCAATGAGACTGAAAGAAATTCCAATTACCTCCCTTAAAGAACTGAAGAATAAAATGTTCACAGCCATTCTGACCAAACTGGAATTCTTTGTTACAGCCTGCTGTTCTCATTTTTCCTTGCAGCTTCTTACAGAAGCTGGCTGTCTTGCAGCTCTGAAATCTGCATAATTTCAGCTGGAAACTTCTGATATCACATTTAAAGTAATGTGTTTTTGTAGCTGCTCATTCTGAAGTGAAATCGAGTTACAGCAAAGATCCAATGACTATGGCAAGCTGCAATATACAACTTAAAATATACTTCTCCAAATAGTGAGAAAAAGTGGATTCAACAGGAGTATCTCCTACTTGCCTGCCCAGGATAAAGTTGTTTCCCATGTAGTCAGAACCATCTCTCCCCACAATCTATCAACGGCCCTTCACAATCTCTGATGACCTCCATGATCTCTCCACAGCTTTTTACCCCCTTTCAGCTATTCATCTAACAAGCAGAGCCTTGACCCAATCTCCTTTCCTCCTCTGTGGTCTGTGTATTTTGACTTTGCAATTAGTCTGTCCAACATCCAGCCTGCCTTTCAATGTAGATGACTGCCAACTGGGAAATGGATCTTGAAAACGTAAATCAAGTTTTGCTATTAAATTCAGGAGGTGCTCTGTGCATTTCAATCGCTATGCCTCTCTCAAATCCCTGACCTCACCCCAACTCTGTCACCAATGCCCATCTCCGACCATGCCATTTCTGAAAAGTGTGGGAAATTGTGCCAAAAATACACTTGAATTGATTGTTATTGCTCTGATTGTTATTGTTATTTTGTTATATTAGTTATTTTGTAAAACATTCCACAAACCAGCAGCATACACCAATGATATAGAACATAATTGTTTCTTGTTTTCTCTTTCCATCAAATTATATTCCTTGTTTTATTGACGAGTGTTTTACTAATAGACTTTATCACCATAAATATGCATTTTTAATAAAGATACCCAAACCTCCATCAGTGAGTAAGTGGATTTAAAACCATTGAAAAAACTTAATCAAAACTATTTATTAGTTTTATTGTTTTATACTGGTCGCTTTAAATATAAAGTAGAAAGAGAAGATGCTGGAAAGATAGGTTTGGCAGGTCTGGCAGCATCTGAGGAGAAAGAAAGAGTTAATGTTTTGAGTTCCAACAGACCATAAGAAATAGGGACAGGAGTAGTCCGTTTGGCCCCTTGAGCCTGCTCTACCATTCAAGAGTATTATGGCTGATCCAACACTCCTCACATCCTTTTATCTGCCTTTACCCCATAACCCTTGATTCCCTTACTGATCAAGAATCTATCTATCTCAGCCTTAAGTCTTTTAGTTCTGAAAAAGAATCACATTGGACTTGAAATGTTAACTCTATCACTCCACAGATGTCCCATCAGATTTGCTAAGTTTATTTAGCATTTTCTCTTTTCATTTTAGAATTCTAACATCCACTACATTTTGCTGTATTTAAATATTTTTTGATGAGACTACATTTTTAAAATTTGCCCACTAGTGCTATTGCCCAAATACAAATGAATGCAATATGAAACTTCACCCCTTCAAGCCAGTGCAATCTCTCATCTTGAAGAAAGGGGAATGGCCAGTTTTGTAGTTGGGGTCTGATACAGTTAAATTAAATCTTGAATCAGCATAAAAGATAATAGGAGACTGAAAACAGGAGCATTTGCCTCTGTACATGCAAGTAAAATATTGCAGATGCTCAAATCTAAAATAAATACGATAAATGCTGAAGAAACATATCAGATTTGGCAGCTTCAGTAGAGAGAGAAATAAAGTTCATGCTTCAAGTCCAAAGAGTGTTACAAAGAAGAGTCTTTGGACTCAAAGTGTTTCTTTCTCCATAAATGCTGTCAGATGAGTCTGTCTAGCACTTGCTGTTTTTATTTTCGAATAAGTACATGATGATTTTTGTCATACTACTCCTGTGTTTTAAATTCCTCATCCTTTGTACTTATTTGGTCAGCTCCTCTAAAATTGCACTAGAATCTAGATGCAAAACCAATGGCAACAAGCAGAAACTATCCCTTAACATTTTATGTCCCCACTATATCATGTGTGTATTGTTTATTGTAGATCTGGTGTTTAGGCATCCTTCTGGATTACAATGGAAATATTTATTTTATTCATCCTCAGTAAACTGTAAGCCTTTATCTCTATTTTGTTGTAGGTCTCATCTCATGCGTGAAGAGCAGTGTTTCTCATGTTCTGAGTAGGAAGGGAGGTGGGAATGTGGCTGTCATTGTGATAGGTGGTGCTGAGGAATCTCTGGATGCCAGACCTGGAGCACTAACTTTGAAAACCCTTAATAGGAAAGGATTTATTAAATTGGCCATAAAATGTGGGTATGTTGATTTTTAACATTGAAAATACTGCCTTTTTGAAAATGTTAATTTTCTTGATGCATGTATCATAGAATAAAAATTGTTAATGACCTCAATTTCTGCCTCTTCTCCTCCAAAAATGTGGAATCTTCGTAAAATATAATTCCAAACATTTGGTGGCCCTCTATTACCGTGAATGCATGGCAATTTTTAATTTGTGTGCCTAAAAATATGGTGGTGAAGGTGTGGGGGGCAATCACAGCCACATGGGGCATCTGGTTTGCATCCAAAGCTAGTATGCACATAATTTCCAGCAGGCATTGGTGTTTAAAATTCAGGAGCAGAAATAATTGTTGATATTGTTAGAACATTCAAAATAGCAATGGGATTAGGACATATGGGCACTTACATCTGGTCTCTTTTTCTATAACTTAATGGTTAAACTTTTACATTAACTCTATGTTGCCACCCATTCCCCTAGGTCTCCTTAATGACCAAAGGTTATCAATCTCATTCCTAAATATAGTTTATGCCGTGCTTAAAAAGGGCTACAATGTTATTTACTTAACTAGACTCAATGTTTTCCAAAAGAGTGAGATAAAATTAGAGACACTCATGAGCTTCTTAATCAGAAAAGTGCTAATTTGATGTTTTGCTATCAAAAGGGTAGAATGAAAAAGATTAATCAAAGTCAATTTAGTTGTTATGGGGAATAATTAGAGCTTTGTTCCTCAATTTTATTTTGTGCATTCTGAATTAGACTAAACTTCAAAGAATGAAGCCTGAATTTATTGCAAGTACATTAATTCATATCTCTTCCCAGGGCACATCTGGTTCCAGTCTTTTCCTTTGGGGAAAATGAACTCTTTAATCAGGTAAACAATCCAGAAGGTTCATTTCTTCGGGGAATGCAGGAAAAATTAAGGAAGATTGCAGGATTTACAATGCCACTGTTTCATGCCAGGGGTGTCTTCCAGTACACCTTTGGGCTGCTACCATATAGGAAACCTATTTACACCATAGGTAAGGAAAATTAGAAAATATTATTTACTCAAGTTATCTAAGTGTTTGAAGACGTTCTTTTTAATGCATAGGCAGGGTATGATGATAACGCAGTGATTACACACATTTTTTGAATACCCTGTAGAGATTGTGATGGTCTTCTACACAATCTACGGTCATAGCTGTGCTAAGGAAGTATCTGATGAGAGTGCTGCTGTGAAGTTTAGGTAGTCACATCATTGTTAACAATAAAAATCATTCTGTTCTGATAAGAAGTCATTGACCAGAAATGTGAACTCTACTTCTCAGCACAGATGTTGCATGACCTGCTGAGTATTTCCTGTATCCTTTTTATTATTTCAATTTTTAAAAATGCCATTCTTCAAACGTGGAAGTCAGTGGCTTGATCAGCATTTATCGGACATGGTATGAAGACTCAGGAGTTACTTGCTGCAGAATTTTCTGCTTGTGACCTGCTCTTATAGCTACAGTATTTATATGGTTAATCCAGTTCATTAACTGATCACTGGTAACCCCCAAGGTGTTGATATTGGGGGAATTCAGTGATGGCAATGCCATTGAATGTTGAGGGAAATAGTTGGATTCTCTCTTGTTGGAGATGGTCATTCCTCGAAGCTTATGTGATGAGAACCTTACTTGTCACTTATCAGCCCAAGCTTGGATGTCATACAAATCTTGCTGCATTATTATCACTAGACTACTAATTCAGAGAACCCTGTAATGTCCTAGGGACCTGGGTTTGAACTCCACGGCAGGAGGTGGAATTTGAATTTAATGCAAAAAAGTCTGGAATTAAGCTGGGGATCTCAGAAGGCCAAGACAGATCATCCACTCCACACCTTTGGCGGAAATTTATTAATATTTCACCCTTATCTTCCTCCCCATTGTTGAGGATAATAGGTATGGTGAGAGTAATGATGGGCCATGAGGTTACAGGTTGTGGTTGAATACATTTCTGTTGCTGCTGGTGATGACCCACAGTGCCTCATGGATGCCATCTTGAGTTGCTAAATCTATTCAAACCCTATTCATTCAGTACAGTGGTAGCGCCATACAATACCATGAAGGATATCCTTAATGTGAAGATAAGAATTTGTCATCACAAAGACTATGTGACCTTTACTCTTTCCAATTGTCATGACCAGGTGCAACTGCAGCAGGTAGATTGGTGAGGGGGAGGTCAAGTGCAACTATTCCTCTTGTTGGTTCCCTCAGCAACTTCTGCAGGCCCAGACTATTACCTTTCTCCTATAACATTCAAGAAGTGTTAAGTGTAACTACCAATGCACTCTTGATATCCAGAGTACATTCTGTGCCCTTTCCACCCTCATTGAGTTCTCCAATTTGTGTTCAACATAAAGGAGAATTGATTCACCAACTGAGAGCGAAGTAGGTGGTAATCACCACGTGGTTTTTCTTGGGTATTTTTGATTCGATAATATAAAACTCCATGTGGTCCAAAGTCAACTTTGATAGTCCCCAGGGCAACTCCCTCCTGACCAAATCTCAGCAGAGCCTTCTTCCAAATCAGTTTTTCAATGAAGCTGCAGGAGAAAATGGGCCTTGTCCCCATCTTCACTTTGCAGCAGACTCCTATCTTCTTAACTATTTTCTATGCATATATCTGTGCCTTCACCTGATACGCAGAGATAACGATGGCAGTGCTCTTGAATACAAGTCTTTGTTATGGAATGAAATGCAAATTACACCCCTGCAAAGCAATGAGTATTTGAATGTCAATAATGGCTGGGATTCACTCCAGGTTTCATTGGTTTACTTGACCACAAAATTTGCAATGTTATCAAATAGCAATTTTGAGAATTTCTATAAATTGTTGGATGAATAGAATCATTATATGCAAGTCTTATGCAAACAACAATTAGCAATCAGGCTCCCCTTAAGTTTTGTGAAATACTATTTAACCTTTCAAGGCCAGAAAGGCAGCATTTGATACTTTAAAGCTCATTTGTACTGGTAGTAAAATGTTATTAGAGATTTTATTTTTTTTAAATAAAGTTTTCCTTACTTTTCCTGTCACTTTATATGTGCTTCATGTAATGCAATTTGTTTTTTCCTTTCTGTAACTGCTTTTATCTAGTTCACTTTATTTACTTCTTTAACATTTATTTTAACTTCTATATCCTTAATACTAATTGGTTGAGGAGATAGATTGCCTGTCTCCTTGTCTGCCAATGTCTAAGATCCCTGTTGTCCTTGTAGTGTCATTAACAGTTCGCTCATCCAGCAATTTGAAGGGCAAAATATTTTTGAGTTGAAGATTGAAGGAAAAATGTAACCAACTGGATATGCCACATGATGTGCTGTGCACCTTCAAAATCTAGACTGGCTCAGTGGTTAGCACTGCTGCCTGACAGCGCCAGGGACCCGGGTTTGACTCCACCTTCAGGCAACTGTCTGTGTGAAGTTTGCACATTCTCCCCATGTCTGCATGGGTTTCCTCTGGATGCTCTGGTTTCCTCCCACAGTCCAAAGATGTGCAGGCTAGGTGGATTGGCCATGCTAAATTGCCCGTAGTGTTCAGGGACGTGTAGATTAGGTGTGTTATGCGGGATGGCTCTGGGTGGGATGCTCTGAGGTTGATGTGAACTTGTTGGGCCGAAGACCCTGTTTCCACATTGTAGGGATTCTATTATCTATGTATAAGAATAAATAACCTTCCATTTCTGCTTTGAAAAAGCAACAAAAACTTGCTTTTTAATTTTTTGCCCCCAGTCTCACAGTGGCTTCCTTAAAACACGTTTTGAGGAAAATTTCTTCACTGTCCTATGTGTTTGGGATTATATTTAGTACCATTACCTAGTGTAAATGGAGAACTAAGCCCAGGTGGCCAGAACATGGCAGTGGATCATTTACTGCTTCACTTTCAGAGTGCTCCAACTGTTGTAGTCTAGGTTCTGTTTCCTGAGAAAGGTAGCTGATGTCCCTGTCCTTCCTTTGAGCATGACAGCTCTTAAGAAGTCAGTGTCACAAAACACATGTTGAGTGGCCTTACCTGCAATGTTGAAATCAATCAATGAATGACTCATGGAAAAGAAACAAAGCATTTTTAAAAACTTCCACTTTTGTGCAACCAGAAGCAGGATTAGTGCTTTCACCAAATCCATACAACAGCTCTGACATTTATTAGGTCCCTCTTGACATTACCACCCTTCAACACAGTCTCCAAACGTTGGGTCTCCTTCATGTACAACCAAATTTCCAGCCTTCTCATGTGATGTGCTACTTTCAGTCACCAGTTTGTACAAACAGCTAACCAACCACATGCATATAAAAACCAGGCAATAAAGTGGCAATATGTTTAATCAGTTGGGTCTGTTTCCATGCTGTATGATTCTATGCCTTTATAATTGATTCACTGATTTATCTCATCCAGACCATCTCTAACTTTTTTTATACTGAGTAACAACAGGAGAAAAATGGACCTGACTTCTAGATTAATTACTATCAAATCAAAATAAGTATATTAAAAAAACACATTTCTGCAAAACCATTTCTGCTAATTTATATCAATGCTTCTATCATTGGCCTAGATTTTAGTTTGCAGGTAGTTGGAGACCTGATGTAATGTAAAAGATCTGTGTCAATATTCCTAATTGCCCAGATGATTTAAACTTCCAATGATAATTATCAAGTGTCTGGAACCCTCTGAGAATGTCCTCATCTGTAAGTTAGTGCTGAAGTCTTCAGAACAATCCAATTTATTTATCTTATTAGTTAGCCAGGAAATGTTAAGCAATTAATATCTGCTGTAACTACTAGCTGTTATAAAACTGAGCCTTCAATCACTCACACTGACAATATCCCTACTGCTCTTTACCCATCCTTCCATTCCCCACCCCAGCTCTTGGCTAACCCCAAGCCTTTCTCTATCCTTCCAAATCTACAGGCCCAACCTATAGTGACCCAAATGCCCCAAATTCTGGACTTGTCCTGACACTTGTCCCCCTTGCCTTGATCCCCAATGCTTCTTCAACCTAATTTACTCAATTTCAAGTCACCTACCTACATGCCCACCCGAAGACATCATGCTTATAAATAAGCAAACATATAAGACTAAGGGCATGGCCTAACTTACCCTGTTTATCCTACACTACTAGCATTCAGCTGAATTAAAGGTACAATGCACCTTTCTGAGACCTCCAGCATCAGATATTGGGCCCAGGAATGCAGAAGGGTGGCACAGGGTGAAAAGTAGGTACAAGAGCTTCAATTCTATAGTGTCGAAGACTGGAGAGATGCAATCCAATAGTGATTGCTGCTGTTGCAAGATTTGGGCCATTTGTTTAATAACAAATGAAGAGGTTTCAAAATTATAATTTAAAATTCCTTTAATAATAAACTAATTCTTCCATATTCCCAGTAAAGCACTCATTCTTCTGAAAGTTGCAGAAAAATGGAACAATGGGAAAAGTGACAATACATGGGTTGTGAATTCATGAGTAACACTTTGTTATGTTTGTTTTACAGTAGGAAAACCAATAACTGTACAGCAAAACCACACACCATCAAATGAAGAGATTGAAGCACTACACAAAAAGTATACTGACGCATTAAATAAATTATTTGAAGAACACAAAGCTGAATATGGAATTTCAGAAAAAGATCATCTCCTTTTCAGTTGACTTTTAGCTTTGAATGTCTGAATTCATACAAAGAAGATAGTCACATTATAGGGTGTAATTTTAACTTTGGAAGATATGTCTTAGCTCAAGGTGAATATTCAATAACGATTTGATTCCTGGTTTCTTTCTCATTATCATACTTGGACAATTGGTCTGTGACATTTGAATCATCCAACTTTAGCTGATAAACACTGATGCAGAAGCAGTGGTGTAATGTGTGGCTATGCAGAACAGTTGATAAACTGCACTTTGCAATTAAATGATCTGTCTATTTATAAGATCAATCCAATTGAATTTGGCATGTGCTAAGTGAGCCAACTGTTTCCACCAAACCATCAGCTGATATAGTGATTTCAAAAGCCCTACCAGAAATCCTTGTATTTTGGAATTACTTTAAAATCAAATTGCCCGAAGATTTTAACTATAAATCATGGAGAAGGACTTAGCATTGCCAAAGTGTCTGTTCAAACTCTCTTAAGGTACTAACAGTAAAAAAGCATCAAAACATTGACTACATAGCTATAAACACTGTAAAACGATTTGTCAATTGTGAAAATAAAATTCCTCCAAATGTTAGTGTATCATTAGTGTATATTGTTGTTTCTTACTGTAATCTTTTAAAATGTGAAAATTACAATCCAAATATCTGGCTTATATTTTTACATGTATCATATTCATATGAACGACGAGCATTTGTTTTGTTTTGAGAAAATTAAGTATTTTTTGAAAAAGGTGGGGGGAGAGAGAATGAGAGAACAAAAATAAATCATTAGTAACTGATGAATGATTAACAATCCATATATTTTTAAAATCACAAGTTTTATTTGTGTTTCTGTCAATTCTAAGAATTATTAACTATTCCTCTAAAGACCCAATCTGATTAAGTCCTGTGACCAAACAAAACTTGATTCTATCTCACTTAATAGGAGTTTGTTTTTTTTCAAATGAACCAAAAAGATTTAAATTTTCCTACTGAAAATACTGTTCCTTATACTACAACATATCCTTCCATCCTCCTATAAAAATAACTTGGCAAGATCAAGTAATTTCACTAATAAATATTACTTCAAAAGTCTTCAAAATTTATAAATACACCTTCAGATTACTTGTTTATTATCTTAACTCTTTTATGTACAACGTAGTTATGGATAATCTTGTTATTGTGAGGCAAAGTTAGTTCAAACGGATTGCAAAATGTGTACTCTGCCAAAGACACTTCTTTTAAAATAAAATATACGTGTCCATTTAAACATGGACAATAAACAAAGAAAGTGATTGTTTGTATTTTTTTTTGATATTCTCACCTTTGTTAAAAAAAATCAGGATCCACATTTGCACCACAATGTTGCATCTTCAAGGGCACTGCCAGCATAATAAGCTATGTAGTTGTCAAGTAAATGGAACTACAAAAAGTGCCAAAGGTCTACAAGTTAAATATAAGATTTGCTCAAAATTAACAAATTTTAGCATATACTTGTGCTTCATGATTGCGTATATCATCAACATTTAAAGCATCCTTGTTTATCCCAGTCAACTGCCTACATTAGACAAATAGTTCTATTTGACAATGCACAGACCCAATTTTAAAAATGGTGCTTCATAAAAAGTGCTATAAAAATGCAACTCATTCGTTGCTATTTGTGATGTTGGAATATGCAATATGATTGAAATTTGTCTATCATAGTCTTAGATTAAAAAAAAAGACTAAAGGCTCTATGTCTGAATGCATGTACCATTCAAAACAAAGTAAATAAATTGATAGGGCAAATTGAAGTAAGTAACTATGCTATAATAGCCATTATGGACATATGGCTACAGGATGACAAGATTGGATTCTGCATATTAATGGGTATATACCACTCAAGAATAGCAAGCTAGGTAAAGGCAGACAGTCAGATTCTGAATCAAATATGATACTGGTGCTATCTGACTTAGGTTCAGGTCATCAGTTTAGGTGAAAATGAGAAATAGTAGGAGTAAGAAGTCACTACTGGGAGTGAACTATAAAGCCCAACAGTAACCACGATGTAGAAAGAAGTATTACAAGGTTAAATATTGGGTGCTTGTGATAAAGGAGCTGCAATACTCATGAGAGATTTCAATCTACATAGAAACTGGAAAAATCAGATTGCTAATATTAGCTTTAACAATGAGTTCATAGAATGCTTTCAAGATAATTCATTAGAGGGGCATGTCTGAGAATGAACAAAACAGCAGCATATATAAGGCTTTGAATTGTGTAATATGACAGAATTAATGAATGACCTCTGAGTAGAGGCACCTGTAAATAACAGGGATCAATATATGATTTAATTTTATACCCAGTTTGAAACTGAGAAGAGTGGTTCGAAATCTAGTTTAATCTTAAAAAACAGAACTATGTGAGCATGAAAAGGATGGCAGTTGAACTGAACTGTGATATCAGGCTAGGAGATAAATAAAGAAGCAGTGGCTGACATTGAAAGGGATATTTCAGAATACTTAGGAAAAGTACATTCTTACTAAAAAGAAAAATTCCAAAGGGAGGACCCAACATCTACAGTTAGGGGAGGCGATGGCCTCGTGGTATTATCACTGCACTGTTAATCCAGAAACCTGGGTAATGTTCTGGGGACCTGGGTTTGAATCCCGCCACAGCAAATGGTGGGAGTTGAATTCAATGAACCTCTGGAATTAAGGGTTTAATGATGACCATCCATGGTCGATGGTCAGAAAAACCCATCCAGTTCACTACTGCCTTTTAGGGAAGGAAACTGCTATCCTTACCCGGGTCTAGCCTACATGTGACTCCAGATCTATGACAACCTTATGGGCAATTAGGGTTCAGCAATACATTAGGGATGGTCACCTTCATCTCGTGAATTAATTAATAAAGCAAAGTATCAAACTAAAGGAAAAAATATTTAATTGTATTAAGCTGAGTGGCAGATGATTGGTCAGAATACAAAGGATGACAGAGAATGACTAAAAGCATTAGGGAAAGCTAGCTAGAAGTGTAAAACAGAATACAAGATATTCTTTAGGTACCCAAAAAAGAACTGAGTAAGTAAATTCAGTGTTCATAATCTAGTGTTAAAGTAGATATTAACAAAATGGTGCATGTAGTTAATATTTTTCTTCTGTCTTCTCTATAAAAGATACAAAGAAAAAATCCCAGTAACGCATGTAAATCAGGAGATTGAACGAAGAGAGAACCTTGGTGAAAGTGTAATCACTAGAGAAAACTCAGTGAGTTTCAGTAGCTTGTTTTTAAAAAATGACTTCAACACCATCTTTCACAATCCCATGGTTTAAAGTAGTATCTTTTCCCATTTTAAGTCCACAGTTCAAAAACTTAGAAGTGATCTTTACAGGAAAGGAAGCAAAATGGTACATGATTTTTAAATCATATAATGACTTACCTCCAGGACAAGTGGAACTCAAATCCGGACCCTTTAACCCAGAGGCAGGAACACTTCCACCGTGCCACAGGTGTCCTTTCCAAAGCTGAACATATTGTTTTACATCTGGTCTCTTCAAAGCCCTATATGTTTGTACCAAGAATCCCTTATTTTTAACTCCATTCCACTTCCAACCAGGGTTAACATAATATTTGCCTTCCTAAATTCTTTACTGTACCCTTCATGTTAACTTTCTGTGACTCATACACTTAGTTATCCGATTCCCTTGAGGACTAACTAGTACTAATCTTCTTCCATTTAAAATATATCATACTTTTCTGACTATAGTGTATAATTTCACACTTTTCCATATTATACTTGATTTTCTACCACCTTGCACTAATCAACCTATATCCCATTGGAGATAGTAGGAACTGCCAATGCTGGAGTCTGAGATAACAAGGTGTGGAGCTGGATGAACACAGCAGGCCAGGCAGCATCAGAGGAGCAGGAAAGCTGACGTTTCGGGTCTGGACCCTTCTTCAGAAATGGGGGGAGGGGAAGGGGGCTCTGAAATAAATAGAGAGACGGGGAGGCG